CAAGCAACTGTTTTTTTTCTGGTGAAAGTGTGATTTTTCCTATTTCTTTTTCAGCAGACAGAGTATTTCCTCTGGTTACGACCTGCACGCAAGACCACGGGGAAGCTGTTATTTCCTCAGGACTGCCAGTTCCCCGTACTCTCCGTGACTCAGGGCCAGGGAGGGTACCCAGGACTTCCCGAGCCGGACACTCAGCAGGACAAGGAAGACTTGACCTTTTCCTGAGAGTAGGAACTTCATGAACTTTTCTCTGTGTTTGGGCTGCTGCCAAGCAGCCACACGTTATTTATGCCTGAGTTTGCCCACGGCAAGCTGCCCGTTTGGGTCGGCACTGCAGACCGTACGGCGAATGCCGGGAACGCTTAGTCTGCAGAAAAAAAAGAACCAGAGGGTGGGACGGTGCCAAGACTTTGTCTCTGAAGACGCTTGGGACTTCAAAGCGTGACAGCATTTTCGTTTTGTACCGCAAATGTGGAAGAGTGAGTGTAACAGAGTAAGATCTTTGAGCGCTGCCTCGTAATGTTACTCTAAATAGCCTGCAATCCCACTGGTCAGAGCGGAGTTACTCCGTCCAGGTGCGTGCCTGTATAAAAACCTCTGGAGCGTGCATCTCCCTCAGGAAACTTCCCGCACCCTCCGTCACAGCAGGTACCGCGCAGCTGCCCGGCCAACCTCGTCCGACGCGCGTTTCTGCTCTCCGCTCACACGCCCGGGACACGCGTCCGCCTGGATTCCTGTGTTTCAGGTCAGCTGCGTTAGCCAACGACACCAGCTTTACCTAACCCCTGCTACGGCTTCGCGAGGCGTGACTAACCGCTGCTGGCTTGCGGCGGCTGGATGCATTTACTTCGCGGACTCAAATGTCATACAGGTTTACTACGGCGATGTTCCCAGCACTGACATTTCCTTTACTTCCTAGCATTTACGTCCATCTTTTTAGAGTATTTTCTTTTATTTAGTGCAGGAGAACACGGGAAAATTGCATGAGATGGATGTCAGCGTACGGCATGAGCATGTGGCTAAGCCCCGTCCCCCAAAGAACACGCTGCAACTGCGTTTCCCACAGGGGCAACCAGAATTGGCTTTTTGCCCAAACAGCTCTGACTAAACGGGACTATGCCGTGTAGCTGTGTGCTGAGGCGAGAGAAACACCTTTCAGCAGAGCTGTGTTTACGGCTGAAGACCCAGCGACACAGTACCGCACGCTAACCTACTTTTTTTGAGAGAGGCCACGTAGCTAGATTTGAAAAGTTCTTTCCAAACAATGGATTTTTGAAATTAACAGGGAAAAAAGGTGTGGTGGTGGGTTTTTTTTTTCTTATAGGGGATAATCTGTCACCTTAAGGTTTATCATCATCTGACAATTTCCCCTTCAGTGCTTAATTAGCTTTTTAGTTTTGCGTGGCATTGCCAAACAGAGATAATTTTGTGAATCGTTCTTTCTTCCTTAGGCTCTGGAGAAATCAGATGTGATGTTCTAAGTCGTTTTGTTCACAACAATGGTTTAAGATTATTAATGAAGTCAATACAGGTTTAAAAGCTTTGGAAAGCACAGAATTTAAGGATTATTTCCCTTCAGGATCATTTTGCAAAGAAGTCAGCTCCTAACATTCAGAAAGAGCCAACATTTTCTTAAGGAAAGAGATTTCAGTTACCATATTACTATATTAAATCAAAATGCTTGGAGAAACACACCATTTTCAGTCAAATATGGATCAGAAAAATGTCGAAGTAGTAAAAAAGGGTCAGTATTTACAATTCTAGAAGCACAGGAGCAACTTGACCGTATGACACGTGGGGTATGTAAGAATGCAAACACCCCCTCTGTGCAAACCGGTTGGTCAACACTCACCTGTGCCTGCAGTCTTCAGGCACCTTTTGCCATTTTAAAGGATGAAATGAAGCTGTGCGTCATTAAGGCCAGGATGATCGTACACTTGAAACCGTTAAGACTAAATCTGTCCTGTAGTTTGCAGCTAAGAGAGACTTACTTTTTACTCCAGGTTATGAAATATGTAATTGTTATGGCAGTAGGCCTTATAAAACAAACCAACCAACAAGAAACCCATCACCACCTTTCTATTTTACAGGAACTAGACATTTGAAAAGATATTATTACAGCATCTAGAAGCCCCAGCCATAAACCACAGCCCAGTGTGTCAGGTGACAAATGCAAAGTGCATAAACTTTATCTCCTTCCAGTTCACCTGCTAAGAACTCAGGCAACTGATGGACTCAAGAGCCACACCAGTCTCACCACAGGACCAGTGTAACCACTGGGCATCCTCTAGACCTCCTGATCATTTTTGAGGAGGGATTTAATAAAAACAACAAAGCATCTTTGTAAATATTCAAGCAGACTCCTCTTTTAGAGGAGCTCAAAGACAAAGCACAACAAAGCACAGCAATTTTTATTTTGAAAACTTACGTTAACATGACTAATTTAATTTAGAATCAAGTCTGTACTGAATGAGTGATAATAGGGTATAGATATATCCAGTGAGTGATAATAGGGTATAGATATATCCATCAGGATCAGAGATGCAGCTGTATTTACTGCGAGTATTTAACAGTGGATCAACAAACAGGTATTCACTAAGCTTGTTTCCAGGCTATTTTGTGGTATGCACTGCTGTGCACAGCCAACTGAAATTCTGACCTGTTGCAGTAAGAACTTCTCTAAATAGAGGAAAAAAAAAATACAGAAGGATCACTTTCTACCCAAACTGACAAGTCAAGCAGTTCAGTCACTAAACAAGCTCTTCAGGTTTTTACATATAATGGTACTAGACACTGGAAAGTTTTCCCCTGCTTTGTAATTTCAGGATGGGCCTTTCACTTAAATAGTGCAAATTTTATGCTACAACAGTCTTAATAAAGGTAAAAGAACCCAACCCAAAACAAACCAACCAACCCAAACTTTGAAAATACAGTGCTTTGAATGTTTAAACATAAAATGTTAAGAAGATGGGGTCTTCAAGTCTGTGTTTTCTGGCTGTAGCCATAACCAGCTCTGACATTCTTCTCTTTTCATTACCCACCTCACGAATTACCCAAGTCTTAATGTATTTTACCTGGTATTTCCTAAAATGTCTAGGTTTTATGCTAGCTCAAGATATGAAAAGGTTGCATCGCTGAAAAACGCAAGCACACTTCCGATTACATGAGGCTGCCTAGAAAGCACTGCTTTTGTACGGAGGCACACTTCCACACCTGACGTGCAAACACGGATGCATTCCCTCCTGTCAGGGAATGCTGAAGCTGCAGCATCATCTTCAGTCTCTTACATACCACCATGGTATCACAAATTATACATAAAAGGTGCACAGCCAGAAGTTGTTACTAGCTAGGTGGAGGCCCTCTGAGGGATATAAAGTCAATTGATTTCTGCAGATTTTTGAAAAAAAATTATTTTATATTAAAGCACTCTTTTTTCTGGAAGTGTAGAAGGTAATTGCCACCACTGAACAAACACAGTGCTAGAGGAGCTAGAACACAAATCCCATCCTCGTGAATAAACAGAGGAGCAATAAGGAACATATCAGGTATCAGAAAAACTGCACCGGTGTCGGTATCATGTGTGCACATAAACCACCCACACAAGTCAGCAGTCACTCTGCTCCTTAAAAAACTACCTGCAGGCATGGCTGAGCCTCCCGGCTGCTGCCAGACCTCTCCCTCTTCTGGCCAGAATACCAGAGCAGCCGCCTGCAGCTTGGAGCAACCCGAATTACACAGCACAGGCTGCAGCGCGTGGGCTGGGGAGAGCGCGCACATTTGCATTCTGTAACAGGAGCAGAATAAGGCCAGTCGTGGGTAAAAACAGCACCCTCTAGCCAGTGAGACATGTGGGCAGGGTGAACTGGTACAGCCTCTGGCCAGGGCAAGCCATGAACCGTTTTTTTCTCTTTATACATATATATGCACACACAGATACACACATGCACAGGTGCTATCACCGAAGAAAATTCTAGTCAAGCAAATAGCTTCACTGGCACATCTCTCCCCATGCAAATTTAGATTCAACCCTACTCCTGCTTGTGGCGCTCGTTAGCTGGTATCAAGCAGCTCCTTCTCAGGCTGGGTGCTGCCCTGTACGCTGAAGAGGCAGAGTCACTCCTAACGCACGCCACATTCTCCCAACCAGCTTACCGATCCAAGCTCCTCGCGGCAATTATTTCCTGGCTGCAATACTCTGCGGTTCACTGCCATTCGGGGTAATTCAGTTGGCTGTTCTGCTAATGGAATTTAAAAGGCAAAGGCAGAGAAGAGAAGGCAGTGGTATACAAGGAGACAAAATCAAGAGTACTGGCTGCAGCAAATTAACCAGTTTTATTGCAGAAATGCCAAGCCCTGAGGGAAATGGTAAGTTACAGATAAAAAAGCATAGATACTAAAAGACAGTTCTCAGCTGTTGCTTCAAGTGACAGGAGTACCCATACAATCAGCTTACCCATCAGACTGATTAGTGGCACCCATTTAGTAACACAATGCTCAGATTTTGCATGAATGATAAGACAAACGATAAAATAATACATATTCACAGGTTCACTGAGTGGAAGGGATTGGAAGGGATGTCTAGAGATCATCTGGTCCAACCTCCCTGCCAGAGCAGGATCACCTGGAGTAGATCCCACAGGAACAAGTCCAGGCAGCTTCTGAAAGTCTCCAGAGAAGGAGACTCCACCCCCTCCCTGGGCAGCCTGTTCCAGGGCTCTGTCACCCTCACAGGGAAGAAGGGTTTCCTCATGGTCAGGTTGAAACACGATGAAATAAAAACTCTGACGGTATTACTGCATGACCAGAAAGTGCTCACAGCAAGTTCCAGTGGAGTGGGGATGTTACTTACCATGGCATCCTGTCCCTTCAACCTGTCATTGTAAAGAACCCAAAGTCCACCCAAACTACTCACTGCCTTCTTCCAGTCGTACCTCATGCAAAGAGAGTGCCCCCAGGCTCTTACAACGTTACTTCTCCCCTTCCGTTTCAGCTCTTTCGCCATGATCTCCGCGCAGCAGCCACCGTTTCCCAACAAGATTCAGAGAGCAATGGACTGCCAAACCGAGGAAGAAGAAACCTGTGAAGCGCAGTACGAGTCTGAGAACTGCTCTTGCAGCTCCAAGTGTGCATCATCAACAGCAGAATCCCACTCAGGTTTAGTCCAATTTAAATACTGCAATTGCTATGCCACGCTAGCATCTCTGCACTTCCCTCAGCCTTCAAATATTAGATGTCACCGTGCCACTTTTGCTTCTGATCTCTATTCCCCCCCACCCATTTCCCCTTATGCTTGTATTTATTATCAGACCAAATCTACAAAAAGGACTATCTACATAATTCAGATGCATTTTTAAAAAGGTCTGCTGGATTTTACTTAGACATTGAAGAATTGTTTCTCAATTACAATCAGACATGCTTATAATACACATTAATTGGCCTGGCACTGCTGAAGCTGTATCACAAATTTCAACAGGCTAAGCTGCTCAAACATGTATCGAGGTTTCCAGGCAGGCGTCACTGAAAATCCACGCATATCCTGCCAACAGGCTTCCAACAACAGTACAGTCATCCAGAACAGGGTCCTTGCTTTCAGGGAGATCAGACGGAGCAGTAGCAGAGCTCTCCTGAAACGTGTAACCTACCAGCCTCCTTGCTACGATGACACCTGCCCGCGCGACTGCAGCACTGACTTGCGGAGCAGCACCACACACGTCAACGTACACTTCAGAAATAACCACTAAAAAGAGCTAGGTTTTCATAAGGTAAACAAAGTAAATCCTAAATCCTTCATTTGTAAAAAGCTTAGTGACCTGTTGGCCTCACACATGAGAACTACAGCACCAGTCCCTACGTAGCCTACTCCGGCACAGTAGGAACTACAGCGTACCCCAGAGCTCACTTAGCCCTGCGAGTCGTCTGGATGTTGTTAGCAGAGTGATACATTTGAATTAGTAAATTTTTCTTTTTTTCTAAAAAGCTCATTTCTGCCTGTAAATTGACCACACAACACTCAGAACACCTGGAAATGTCCACTTCACTCCCTGGCCAGCCAGACCGTCCACTTCTGGAGAGCAACCAGTCTCAAGGCCAACAGCCTTGCTAGTCCACGGGCCTATGTGCTATTGTCACCAAATACTTTTTACCCTTTAACAAGTTTTGTACAAACGCCTGCGTGTAAAAATACAAATCTCATCTTTTCTCTCACAGATTCACCAGTAATACTTAAAATCCTACAGAACTGGGTTCCTAGAGTCTCGCACTACTTTGACAAAGAGCACTACATGTACGCTGGCCACCAGATTGTCATTCAGGAGTCCATAGAACACTTTGGGGCTGTGGTATGGCCGGGGGTAAGTATACCACAGGGCACCCAGAAAGCTGACCCGGGGGGGTTTCCCTGCACGTTAGTTCCTGAGGTACTTCCGCAGAAGGCTCCGCCTCGCACCCACGTGCCGGTTCACGCCGCAAGAGCCGCGGCACGAAAGTATTTGTGAACTGGAGACAGCTACTGAAAAAAATTCAAGAAAGGGAACCCGGGAAGAAGTGTTCAGCTTCCTCCACGTTTCTAATCAGTCACTGCCGGGAAATAAACAACCAGCAGTACAAAGAGGAGGCTGACAAATAAAATTGTGGGAGATTAAATAAAGGAGGTTAAAACAATTAAATCTGCTTCTTTTAAAGAACAGGCTGGAACAGTTCCATTGCAGTACGGAAAACCATATTTGCAAGCAGTTCTTCCTCAGTCTTCATTTCTCCTGCTCTTAAAACCAGTATTTTATGTGGACTGAGAACACTACCTCTGAGGGAAGAGAGGGTCAACTGATAAAGACATGAAAATTAGGATTTCAGTATTTTTCAGATCCACGTTTATTGAAAAAGGTCACAGAAAATGGCAGACAATTTCAGAACAATAGAGAAGAAAGGGTACGGGTGGGTGAAACAGTATCTTATTTTGAAGTGTCAGATCATCAGTTCTCACATTAATCAGGTGTCAGAATGCAGACGGTAAAACTTTCCAAGGAAACTGAGAGGTTGCACAAATTGGACTGGTGATTCATTAGCTGTCAGCTTTCCCAGAGCAGGTAGCCAGTGTTGCATTATGAAAAGCACAAGAGTTAAAACAGTAACACAACGCTGAAGAGAAGCAAAAAGGGGGAAGTTAGTTTCTTTGGCATCTGTTTCTGCTGTTTGTAAACAGCCGGCTTATAGTCTATCGATAAGGTCTTCACGAGGGTCTGATAAACAATACTTCCACACAGTGCTATTTCTGTGGGGGTTTGGGGTTGGGTTTGGTTTCAAGTTTATGATATTACCAACTGAACACATACCTATTGGTAAACAACAAATTTTTATTTCCTTTCAAAAAAAAAAGTTTTTTAAAAAAAAATCTCTGCTGAAGCTTAAATTTAGATAATAAAACACAGCATTTAGGATAATAAACCAGGCCGTTACTTTCTACGTATTGTTAAGCCTCTGGTTTGCTGTTCTGACTGTATGGTTCACACCTAAACACTGCCTACCTTGAGCTGTCAGAGGACTCACAGTGTATAGAGGTGTGTAGCAAATCCATATCCCATAAACCTAAAACTAAAAATAAGCTGTTTATTTTTTTTAATATAAAACACAGGACACATCATAATTCTTTCCATATTACATTTATGTTACAGCCTTCAGTGTTTTTCACTGTATATAAAAAAAACCCTGTATAAAAAACATCTTATGACTTTTTGTGCAACTTACCTGTTACCCTCTTATGGATATGTGTTAACCGTTTTAGGCACTGGCTTTATCTCAATATCTGGAATCAAATCAAGAACAATTCAACCTCAAAGACAAAAAAGTTTTGGAAATTGGTGCTGGAACAGGCTTGGTTTCCATTGTGGCCTGTATCTTAGGTTAGTAAATTCGTATTTCCTTTTGGATTTCTTGTGAAAGACGATCCGCCACTGTTGCTTCAAGGCAATGAAGCGACAGTTGAAGTAAACTTTGTCACTTTTTTTTTTTAAACATAAATTACTGTAAAATACTGTTTTGTTAATTAAGTAACTACCCTAGTTATTGGTGAGGGGGAAGCTAAGGAAGTTATGTAGATCAAGTTTTATATATATATTCAACTACCTACCTATGAACTGAAACAAACTCATGTTTTCTTTAGGAGCTTATGTTACAGCTACTGATCTGCCTGAAGTTCTTGAAAATCTTTCATATAATATTTCAAGAAATACACAAAACATGACCATGCACAAACCTGAAGTGAGGAAACTGGTATGGGGAGAAGGCCTCAGTGAAGACTTTCCTGTATCAACTTACCATTATGATTTCATACTGGCAACTGATGTTGTATACCATCATGCAGCTCTGGACCCCCTGCTAGCAACAATGGTGTATTTTTGTAAGCCAGGAACAGTATTACTATGGGCAAATAAATTCAGATTCAGTACAGACTATGAATTTTTGGAAAAACTTTGCAGTATTTTTAACACAACCATTCTAGCAGAATTTCCAGAATCAAATGTCAAGCTGCTTAAAGCCACAGTAAGAGAGAATTAAGGAGGAAACGATTACTAATTCTGATTTAGCAGCAGCACCGTAACAGTTTGGAATGTTTTGCAGCATTGCGGTGCGCCTTCTCTGCGTTTACGTTTGTAAAGTTGCAGTTGCACCTGAATTTTGCGTTACAAGCTACGAAAGAAATAGCAAGACAAATGGTACAGCCATTTGTCCGTGGCCAAGACGTATGACCTGCTCCAACAGACCAATTTCGTTCCCCTGAAGGAACACTGTTAGTAGCAGTAGTTAGTAAAAAGGCTTTACCAGAAAGCACTGATCTTCTGTGCTGCACTGGGCTTGTGTTGTTTGTAAGGTGTTTTCTTTCAGCAAGTTTCATTTCTGTACTCTTTCAGAAACCAATACAATGTTTAGCTTCATTATTTGTTTTTATTAATTATAAAATAATCTTTTAAAGTATCAGAGTGCACATGATGGTTTTTTGATCTTCAACTCCGCACATTTATTCTGCTGTGTTTTACATTTTTAACATTAATAAACATTTATGTATAGCTTTACAATACCTGATCAAGATTTAACTGTCTGGCACTTTTATACATGTATCAGCCTGCCCTGATACTCAACTTCACGTGGTTTTTGAGTCTGCCTGAAATCACTCCAAAATGATTTACAAGAGCACCTATGCATCAGCAATTCCGAGTTACACACCATAACAGTTTGAGAGGTTGAATTTTTCTTTTAAAAAAAATAAAAATCAATGTAAACTCTTGCAAACAATACAGGTAATGATGTCCCGTTAATCTAATAAATAAGATTTTTAGCTACTCTTGAAGTAGCTTTAAGGCCTTCGTACAATTGAAATTAAGATCCAACGTGTTAAAATTCAGTTTACTGTAAAAAAGACAGAGCTTTTACAGGTTTGCAGTTAAAAGTAACAGTTATGAACCTAACATGCATGCAGCAAGCCTTTCCAGCCTAATTCCAAATCCTCTGTGTTGGCAGTTCTGGCACATCCATTGCCAGCAATGGGATGCACAATAAGGAAACTCCCTGATGGCGGGAATTCGGTTAACAGGTATTAAGCTGTACCCAGGTGCCTTCACTGATAAATACACACAATTTAATAATCAGCATTCAGTAATGAAGACATGCGTTCCAATAAAAAGTCAAACTTATCTTTTCATATCCTGCCCCATATAAAATCACTTTCAGTTTACAATGGTTGGTTTTCTAGAATACACAGTAATCAGGTGGATACATGACAGGAAGTGAATTTTCAGTGAAAGTTGCACAGTGAGTCCATCCAAGCAACTTCATTAGCTGAAGAAAAAAAAGCAAACATTAAAAAACATGAGAAGCTGTAGGGCGGTCTTTTTAAAATCTAAATCCTTCCAACAAATGCTACGTCGATATCAACATCTTACTAAAGATGTCCATTATCAGAAAGATAACAGACTGCAGAACTGGTGATCTTTGAATTGCTGTAGTCCTGAAAGGGGAAAAAAAACCCCTTTCTATATGATTTAGTCTTTCGACCTCAATGGACAAAAATTGTCCTAGGAGCTACAGGAATTCCCATGAGTTCTCCACCGATATTCTACTAGCAATAATTGTGATTAATACTACTAAAAAAGAACGGTGCTTGAACAGCAACATAATGGGATTCTAAGTATGCTGAAGAACTTTGGCTAAGTTGTCTCTACTTTCTTTATGCCTCAGAGTAAGCTCCAGGAAGCAAATCCACTAAAAGTGACAGTTGCTCACAATATTGCTATTCTAGAAAAAGAAAGAAGAAATCACTACTAAAAATGGAGGCCAAGCCATAAAAGCCTGGATGTTAAGTTTAGTGACTTTGACAAGGAAGACGATCTCAAAAACTCAAAAGGACTTTTATCTTACTTCTAACAGCTCACCCAGCATGAACATAGCCTGTTACTTTACCAAATTCACCTCACCTGAATGCAGTTTTTCAAGTTGTCCTTCGTTGGCTTCTCTTCCACAAGTTTTGTGGCAAACTTGAGACCTCTCCCATACATTTTGTTTACCAACGCGTGCTTATAGGCAAAAGTCAAAACCTACAATGTGAAAACAAAACAGAATTAGATGTCTTAATATTTTAATCTGACAAGGCTTAACAAGTAAGAGCAGATTCTGTTCAGGTAGAAGAAGTGATTTAAACAAAGTGAAGCATTTGCACAAGGTAGCTTGCATTTTTCTTTGCAATAAAAGGTGATTCAAAGTAGGAGTTAGAAAAATAAACTTCCTAGAGACTATTTCTGACTTCATAAACACATTTGACTGCATAATATCTTATGTAACACAGATGCCACTATTCTAATTTTTTTTTATTCATCACATTTCTAGCTTCTTTGGATTTTCATTCTATACAGGCAACTGAATGGTATTAAAACCAAAACAAAACCAAGAACCAGGCAGGTATAGCTCTGACCCGCAGAAACAAAGACCCAACTGAGAGTTTTGATTCCTAGGAAGTCGTAAACTTACTGCAGAAACAAGTATGAACACACATAGTGAATGACATACACAGACCCATACAGAGAAATGCATGTAATTACAAACAAGCCATGGAGACACGTAAGCATGAAGACAAAAGCCTCAACTGTGGAGTCAGCTTCTCACCATTGGTAATTTATTAAGAAGAGATTCTAAAAAAAAGCTTCCTGTTGACCATACTAATTCTAAGAGACAGCTTACAGTACCTGTCAGTGCTGTTACTAACGTGCGCAGATGGATGTGTCCTACTTCAGAGCTACTGTAAAATGAATCAGGTTTGTTCATTCAGGTTCATGAACACTGACAGCGTTCAGGACATCGCAAGACAGTTCATACCACTGCACCAGTTGCAGCACTAAGAATTAGTGCAATCCAGACATGGTTTCATATATTAAATAGCTGTTTTAAAAATTTTACTAAAGAGTGACATAGCGAGGTTGGTGAATATGATGGTGTTTCTGTTATTGGCAACGTTTATGAAATCTCACACGAGAGTTTGATATTCTTTTTGCCTCGCTCTTTACAAAATCTTTCCTTTCCTCTGACTCCTTAACAAGTTATATTTCCCTAAATTCCATTTAAAATATCCCATTAAGAAATGCTAATAAAAACCTTTCAAGGATGTTCACAAATAAATATTTTGTATTACAGCAAAAACATTTATTTCTTAAGAATATAAGCCTAAGGAATCTGAGATCTGGATCCTGCAAGCACTGAAGAACCTGCCTAATTTTAGCTGCCTGAACACTTCTGCTGAATGTTAATCACACGCACAAGTCTTCACAGGATCAACGCTTAAAAGACTCAGCTACAAAAAAAAATTAAAAGAAATAACAAAACCTAATTATCAAGCAAGTAAAGGCGTAATTTTGAAGCTGTAAAGTATATGCCAAGCACTCAGAGTTGCTCATTCTTCTTCTGTCTTCAAGTACTTACTTCATTGGTTTGGAGCATTCACTTAAAGCTGTTATAGCTTAAACACACACACATATATAACGCAACAATGAGCACCATTCACATACAGATTTTCCAAATATTACTATTGGAAAAATACTTTACATGCTGCATTCTCGATCCAATTATTCTGGATATTTTCCTGAAGCAAAACACATTAGCAAACACTTCTGGGTAACTGCTCAGTGGATTCATTAGCAGGTTTAGTTGGTTAAACTAAACTTAGCAAAAAAACAACCGACTCTTTCTACAGAAGATGATAGAACCACAAACAAAACCAAAGCAAAAATCAAATGAAAAATGCATTGGAGCTCTCAGCAAATGTAACATATCGGAGGCTAACCAGAAAGAATGTTGCTGCTCTAGTAAGAAAGCTCTTACCTGACCCTCTAAGTTTTGAATGGTTATTGAACACCAGTGATAAAGGCAGGAGGAAAGCCACTTGACAGCATTTCTTTCGTAACAGGGCTTCCTAGAGTTTTTGCGGCAAGAAAACAAAGCATTTTACGAAACGCCCTTGCTCTGGCCAAATAATAGTTGGGGTATTTCTAAATGAGAAAAAAATTCTCTGCTGGACCAGAAGGTTGAAAACAATGCTCCAAACAAGAGCTCTTGGCAAAAACCAATAATTTCTGTATTAGTGCTTGGAAAAAAAAAACCCAAACCAATCAACTGCATAGAAGTTAAGTAAAATTACTAAAACTTCATTAGCACTTTAGAAGTTAAGGATAATGCATGAGATGCTTTAAAATCAGAATAGGTTTACAAACAAAAAATGCTAGCTAAGAAGTAATACTTCATAACTTGTACGCATATTGGTCAAATTAAGCTTTATAATTAAACCACTGCAAGCTTTACAAGACCACAGAAGTGAAGATTATGATTCCTTGATATGTGCAAATAAAATGTAAACTGGAGTGCTACTAAGATGTAACACAGAAAACAGCTGCTATTCGAATGCATAACAGCAGCAAATAAACCAGTTTGTAGTATCTAGAAACAGTTGCGAGATCAAAGAATAGAATGAATTCTAAGTGTTTGATATTAATTCATAATTTCAAAAAATATAGTTAAGGGTAGCTTTTACAGAACAAGTGATATGACCCAGAAACTGGCCAAAGAGTGATAAACAGAGGGTAACAAGAAAAGGCAATGTGTACATCCAGGGTACTGGGGGGAAGTCACTCTTGCTTTGTTCCCCAAGCTACGGCCTAAGTGCGCTGAGAGCCAGACCCATGAAAGCAGTTGATGTGCACCTCCTGATTAGCTGCCTAACTTGCCATCAGCTACACAAAGATGCATATTTAGGACAAGAAAATGCTGAAATGATCTCTCTCAAGACACGTGCAGGGCTAAAGTATTTAAAAGCCTGAAAACACTTTTTTTTTAAAAAAAAGAACATTTTTGGAATCCAGCAACACTAAACTACCTCTACAAAGCTTTCCTAGTATCCTAACACTGATACCTATGAAAAGGAAAACAGACTTGTAGAATCAGTTGCTTTGTTATTTAAACAGTTGATTAAAACATATCTACATTTACAAATAATTAAAATACTAGGTTAAGCAATACAATCTATAGATAACACACTCCAACTTGTAAGAACACTGAAGTTGTCACGTTTGTAATTACCAGCAAACGAGTTTTTTCGGGTTCATGTCCAGCTATGGTAAACTAAGCTTTCTTAGCTACCTCTGTTGAGCCCTCGACTGGCCTTTTACAAACAAAAGGCATATTCCTATAAAAAAACCTGACATGTCGTATTTTCAAGAGAGGGAGGAGAGTTACGGGAATCAAGTATCCAGCAACAAGCTTTTGGCAGTGACTGAATACCATCAGCTGGAAGAGACAGCTGCATCTGACAGTGCAGACAGTAACATGAAAAACAATCCAGACTAAAGATGGTTAAAAGACAGGATGAAAAGGTCTGGACCTTTTATTTCTTCTTAAAAGTATTTTTAAAGATGACTTTTTGCTTATCCCCAATGGCTAATTTAAAGGTTGAGGGGCATTAAATTCTACAGACAAGACAGTACTGGGAGTCACTAACAAACAGGTAACATCCTACTTCTCTCCTGTAGCAGTTTTGTTTGAAACCAGGGATGTTGGCCTACAAATTTTAAATCTGTGGTCTATGTAAAAGAAAAATTGAACAACTTATATTCCCCTACTAAAAGCCATAAAGCACTATTACAAATATTTTAGCATAACCAAATACTTGCTGCACAGAGCTGTCTCAACTGGAGTTTATTTGAAATGCTTTTGTGTGTGCACAGAGGACAAATATTTTATGTTTCATGTAAAATAAACCTTCAGAGACAAGTGATCTAACTAGAACAGCTGAAACTGTGAACAGATGCACTTATTGTTGTGCTGGGTTTGGCTGGGATAGGGTTAATTTTCATCACAGTAGCTGATGTGGGGCTGTGTTTTGGGTTTGTGCTGGAATCAGTGTTGATAACACAGGGATGTTTTAGCTGTGGCGGAGCAGTGCTGACACAGAGTCAAGGCCTTCTCTGCTCCTCACCCCACCCCACCAGTGAGTGGGCTGGGGGTGCACAAGGAGCTGGGAGGGGACACAGCCGGGACAGCTGACCCCAACTGACCAGAGGGATATCCCAATCTCATGTGATGTTGTGATCAGCAATAAAAGCTGAAGGGGGAAGGAGGAGGAAGGGAAGTACATTCAGAGTCATGGCATTTGTCTTCCCAAGTAATCATTACACATCACAGAGCCCTGCTTTCCTGGAGATGGCTGAACACCTGTCTGACCATGGGAAGTGGTGAATGAATTCCTTGTTTCACTTGTGTGCATGGCTTTTGCTTTACCTATTAAACTGTAATCTGTATCTCAACCCACGAGTTGTCTCACTTTTACATTTCCCATTCTTTCCCAAAGCCAGAGGAGAGAGCAAGTGGCTGTGTGGGGCTCATGACAGTCAATCAATTCAGATTTCAATTTGACTAGTGAAACCAAAAGGGAAAAAGCAGAGAAACATACCATGTAAACAGGATGGGAGTTATTTCCCTCTGAAATGCTACAATAATCTGGAGAGTTTTGTTGGCCTTTCAGTACCAATTTAACCATACAGAAGTACCAACTTCCAGAGCAAAACCTGAACACGCACTTAGACAAATCCACAGTTAAGGCAGTCAGTGACAGGTTTAATTCTGAACCTGTGTGCGGTTCAAATCAGTTACTCATTCCACATCCAGAGCACACAGCTCAAGCATGCCAGGAATCAATATCTGCCTTGGAAAAAAACCCCTAACAGAGTTAAGAACTCCCAACGAGATATCTATATTGGCAGTTTTTCCCGAAAATATTACCATCAGCTTTAAAAAAATCAAAAGACAGAAGTAAAGCAAAGGTCACTGTACTGGAATGCAGTACAGTATTTACAGCTGGACAGCAAGAAAATCATGGGCCAGACAATATGATTAAAGCACAAAAGCTGCTACCACAAGATATTATAATCAGTTAAAGATTAGAGAAAAGGAATGCTGAAAAGATGTAGGTGTACAAGAATAGATACATTAAAAGAAGTGAGGGTAACCACCATCAACCTTCTTGTTCAGGCCTCCAGCTAAAGCATGAGTTCTTACTGAGAAGATTGCTTTCTTTCCTTGACAGTAAGTAATTATCTTAATTTCAATGTTTTTCTTTTGGAATTATCATCTAAAGTGTGTTGGCAATTTAAATGAATTACAAACAAATACACTGGTCACTTCACCTTCTGCTAGAAGGCAGCCATATGCAAGAGTGAAGTGCAGCAACTAATTAACACTCAAGAGTTACAATACAAAGTCATAAACTCTGTAAATTAAAAGCTACATAAATAATAAATATAAATATATAATCTACAATGGATTTTTTTTTTACTTTTCCTTCTGGAATAGCTGTCTTCAATGAAGCACATAAAGTTAATCTCAGGATAAGGAACGTTGAAATGACAGGGAAATCTGTGCTAATGAATATGTAAGTGTAATTATTTCCAAGCATTTGTTCCTTTACCTCTACAGACATTATTGACAGCAAAACACAAAACTTCTCTTGTCCACAGTGTAGAAGAGGCTACAGAATGCAGGACTGAACAGAGTAGGGATGCTGCACACTTCTGTGTGTGCACAGCTAGAACAGCGCAGAGGTTAATCAAAAATATTCCCTGAAAGGTACAGAAAGAAGCAATTCAATAAAGCAAGCAGCTTTTTCATGGAAATCTGGTACTGTTCTATACCCTTCCCTTAACATTCACATGCTCAGAGATGGGCTTACCATGGATTTGACAGGCTTAGCTGTGGAAAAAGGTCATTAAGGAAGCACAACATATGGGGCAGCATGAAAAAGTGGAAGGGAGAAATGTATGAGGCTGTGCTCACAAAGGCAGTGTGTAATTCCAGGAGAAACCCTCAAAAACCCCAGCATGCAAAAGACAAAATCCGCTCTGCTCTCTTACCTTGCTGTCAAAAAGATCAGTCCATTTTGTTGTTTCCCAGAATGTCTCTGTCAAAGCTTCTGAGCAGCTGTCATGATCCTCGTCTTTGCCTTCTGCATCACTGGAAGCAGCCCCTTCCTGGGCCTGCAGATGAAGCAGTTGGTCAGCCAGCGCACTTCCTTTCCGACAAAGTGCATCCACTAAAGTTGTCTTCTGTTTTTCCATTTCACTAGGAAAAAAACCAGCATGAAAAATATTACAGATTTTCTGCAGATGCCTCATGAAGAACAGAATCTGTGCCGTACTGAGTTTAAGCTGACAAGTTTACAGCAGTTAGTACATACAAAATGAGAAGAAGCACAAAGATAATTTTCAAAGCATGGCTATTTCCTATGAATTAAACCAGTTGTAAAAAAACTACCCAGTGACACTATGACTTAAACTCATTCTTCTAACCCTGAAATGTCTTTGCTGTCCTAAGGCAATGGCAACTCTGGATTCTAAGACTCGGTAAACCAGGATCTAGAAGTACAGTTTTACAGTCCTTGGCATTATAAATAGAGAATCTCAAGTCCACCACTAACATAAGCAGATGCAGTTCTGCTGACTTCAAAGGAATTGCACCCATTTAAAGCACCACTGAATTTGGTGTTCAGTTTCAGATGTTAGAGTCAACCACATGACCTAAGGGGTCAACTTACCAAGAAACATTTAGAATGAAGGTTATGTCGTCATAGCTTTGCTTTTGTATCAGCAATTCTACAATTATACACAAGCATCCAGGACAGCTATAACAGACAGACTAGTCTTGCAACTGAAACTTGGTATTTTATCTAAAATAATAAATATGCACCTCCCATTTTAAGGGCCCAATCTTCAATTCTGTTGCTTTATTTGCAACTAAACCAGCACCATGTCACACACAGCAAAACCCACCAGTTATTCCCAGACTAGGGTGTCACCTTCAAAATACTGTCTTCCTAAGGATGTATACTGGTAATTCAGAGGAACTATCTAAAACTAAAGAAAAAAATGGGTCTCAAAAATACTCTGAAGCACCAGTATGGTCAACATGACTTTCCCAAATGAAATCTTTTGCAGGCAGTTGCTCCCTAGACTGCTGTCAATTTTTCTTCAAATCCAGATTCAAAAGGTTGCAAACTATTATGAAGGGGCAGGTAGCATTCAATACACACACCTCTAAATCAAGACTCCAGTGGTCCCTCTGATCAGAGATTAAGCTTGATGCAAAACCTTAACACCCCATTTTTTTCCTGACACATTTAAATCCTGAAAGAACCCTTGTTTATTTAATACTTCTATGTCAAAATTTACAGATTTCAGTCTTCCCGCATTCTGGGCATACATGAAATTACCCATGCCCCAAAAAATTACACAAGTTACGAAAAAACATTACAGTAATTCAAGCTCTTATAAGCAGAGACAAAGTACACAGATTACAGAAATAGGATGCAAGAAAATTATTTACTGGGTAGGTACTTTTTTATAGTAGTTGCATCAGGCCTGGGATCAGTCTTCATGGCAAAATACACTGCTAATGCTGTCTGATCAATATGAGAGATTACAGTATTTGCAGCTTCAACAATTTCATCAAGTCTTTTCATTCGTTCCTAAAAGAAGAATAAAAAACATCTTTTGCACTATGAAATTGCACTACTCAACTGTTGCTCCTACCAACACTAGGATAATTGCAGACGTATGCAGAAGTAACATCAGGTAATTCAACACGTCCTTTTCTCCATCGTCTTCAGCTTTAGGTTCAAAAATAAAAGACTAGAAGTCTGCATTATCAGTATTCCCTGCATATGTCATCCTTTTAGTGAAAACAAACCGTAAACATGAGGCCAGTTGTACTGGTTTTGGCTGGGATGGAATAAATGCAAAATGCAGAGTGTACAGAAGGAAAAACACCTTTCAGTACAAATTAATCCTCTTAAATAATGGTAGCAGTTATTCCTTTCAAAAATAAATATCAAATAAAGAGAAAAATAGTCAAGCTGCTCATGGGTGAACAAAGCAGTTTATCTTTGAGATCTAGAAAAAAAGCAGACATACTTAAAGTTGTCTGTTCACTGTTTTAATTTATGAGGACAACAGCAGATGGGGGATTTAGCTGTGTCATTTCAAGAGGCTGCCGTCCTCAGTTATCTGAGCAGCAGAAAGGGGTGTGTGCTTCTCTCAGTAACCACCATTTAGAATAATACTGTTGTAGCCTAAACCAGTCAGGAAACTTACAACATGTTTAAATTAACAAGCAGTAAATAATAAGCAAACATACTTCAGGTAGGCATACTTTCATTCTGCTGTGGGATTAAGTAAATCACAGTCACTTAGGGAGGCAGCTGTCAATCTAATTAGGATTTTCTGCTTCGTAGCACTGAGTACAGCTGTGGCAAGGATGTATTGAGACAAACCAAGTTTTAAAGTGTAAAATAACCTTTTCAGAATCCAGCTGATGAAGCCTTGCAACATACAAGGGCAGATGATTAGGAAACGCTTCTTTCAACTCATTATAGATGTCAGTGGTATCCAGCCTAGAAGAGAGGAGGACACAGCATGAAAGTACATATTCTGGATATTATATGGTACAGGCGCTTCAAGTGTAGTTGTGACAGCAGCCATACTTGGTCATCCACTGTATTTTTAGGTTTCACCTCATTATAGATGTCAGTGTTATCCAGCCTAGAAGAGAGGAGGACACAGCATGAAAGTACATATTCTGGATATTATATGGTACTTGAAGTGTAGTCGTGACAGCAGCCATACTTGGTCATCCACTGTATTTTTAGGTCTCTTAAAGCTTCAGCAAATTCTTCTTTCACATCTTTTTCTTTTTCTTGTTCTCTTTCTTTCTCTTTGCTGCCATTCTTACTCTTTGATGGCGATGGTATCAGATGATAGTGAACAGTAAGGACATCCTGGAGGTAGGAAGACAGATACATACTTAGAAGGATACAGTATACTTCTTTCCTGATGCTATATAAAAACTAGATCATAGCAAGCAACTACCTGAGCTGTGCATACATTGAGTAAGATTGAGAAGAGTTATCAGTCATTAAGAATTCAGGAACGGCTTTAACCTTTTATTTTAAGCAATGCAAGGATGTAAATATTAAAACAGCACACTGGGTGTAAGACAAGAAAGCCTAAAATTCAGCAAGTTTGACACTTTTGTATTCACATAATTTTGCATAAGATTAGTTAGGGAATCAGAAAGATGTGGGTTGGTTTGTTTATAGAAAAGCAAATAACTTGGTTAAAAGGCAAAGAAAAAAAATCAGTTAGAGATCCTATCCTACAAATCTGGCAACAAACAAATGAATAAAGATGACTGAAAAATAATACCACAGTAGCATAAATATGAATTATGACATAGGACACAAGTTTATTCCTCCTGAGACAATGTGCCTACTGAATTAGCTGATGCATCCAGTCAACTCTTTCCTACTTTGCTGCTATAGACTTTCTAGTTTCACCTGTATCCATGCTCAAATTAAGTAGACAACAGCAAGGGTTTTTTTTAAACTCTATACGCATGCACAGTAATCACAGTAGTCAACAACTACCATGTGAAAGTCACCTGCAGCTGTTTGAAAGGAAAATCATAACTGATCTTAGACTGTGCACTGAAGTCCATCTCCTGAGATGACTTACATATAAATTTGCAAATAAGCCACCATTAGATTTCAGTCATTGCTTCTAAACCACTACAAATACTGGGGGAGGCCATTCTGTTGTTACTGGTTTTAACACTGCAAACGCTGAGGGCACACGTCCCGTTATTTTACATACAAGATATTTCCCAGAGACTACCACCTGTGTTGCATGCTCGTTGCTGTGACAATTATTCATACAAATTATTCCAAAATCCATTTGTGGGAATACGTTTCTCATAAGCCACATCAGTGTTGTAATGAAATGATATCCTGTGCATAAGATGGACTTAGTTCAGGTTACTTAAATAGTGAGGAAGAAGGTGGCTGTTAGCAACTGCTGTACATAACCTCATGATAATGGACTTCAACACCACATTCTGAAAATACTCAAGAACAATTTTATTTGAACTGATAGTTCAAACACCAGCAGCTTGCTATGGGTTACTGCAAATAATACTGGTAAGAGAAAGTGACATCAATATTCCCTTAAAACAATTTTTCCAGCATTGCAGATGAACTACAAAACTGACATATACTTTTTTTTTTTAAAAAACCCTAGTTTAGATCAGTAGGCTACATTAAAGTGTAGTTTTCACAGGAACTACCCTGCACACATGCATTTCAAGTAAGAAGTGCATGACCAGGCAGTACACCTACATAAGAGT